ATTATTTATCAAGCAAGTCTTATTCATTAATTAATCATTTATTAGTCTAATTAATGATTAATTATTATTTCATAAAATTGATTAAATTTATATATTATTAATTGATTAAATTAATTAAAACTAGCAATTAAAATTATATCAAATCCCAAAACCTATCTTCTCCCTCCCCCTATCTAGTCCGCAAACCCTGCTTACATTACTTCCTCGTCTCTTTGTTTCCCTTGAAACCATCGTCTACTTTCCCATTCCTCCTCCATGCTCGAAATGCTCGCAGTATAGTCGCGACTAGAGCTAGCTGGGAGGGTAGCGATAGGATAGCAACACAAAAAGATCTTCAAAAGTTATTGATGCAGGGCTATTCAGTTGAACTGGTTAAGGCTCAAAAAACGGTTCTTGGTGGGATTAGGAGGGTCGACCGATCTTCCAAGGGTTTTGGTTTGTCGCCCAAGTGGGTGGGGCCACACCTATTTTACCTACTTTATTTATGTGCTATTTCTATTTGTTTTAGGGAATTTCTTGTTTTTCAGGTTTTTGGTCCAACTTGTTGATGATGGTTGTTTTCCCATCTACTGCTATATCTGAGGACAGGTAATATTCCGACTGTATCTTGCTCCAATATGGAGATTTTCTCTGCTTATCCCTATTCCCTACCGCTCTTTGCTGCCGCCTATATCTCGCACCTCTATACTCATTGTCGCACACCTCTTGCCCATTCCTTTGTTGTTGCCTATGTCATGTATCCTTAGGCCTCAGGCTCCAGCCGCCCACTTGCCTATCCAACCACTAGCCCCCCTCCAATTGCATGTTCTTCTATCCAGCTACAAACTTGCCATAGCCCACTCCTAGTTGTCGCACCTCTAGCCTGTGGCCAACTCCCCATCTCCTTCACCTATTTGTTGTTGCAATTCCCATAACCCTATTACCTTGTTGCTCAATCCTTGCCCACCTCCTTGCCACCACAATCCCCTAACCTTCCCCTTGCTGTTGTAACCCCTCCATCCCTCTACTGTTGGTTGTCTCCCCCCAACCAATCAACCTAGCCACTATCCAGCTCCAGCCCACCACCTTCCCGCCCTAACCCTAAGGGTTGTTGGTGTTTGTTGTCGCTTTATTCTTGTTTTAAGAGTTATTGTTGTGAACCCTCTAATATTCAATAATAATATTTGCATTTCCATTTTGATTTGGGTTAACTCCAGTATCAATCGGTACCAGAGCTAATGACCCTAGTCCTTCTTTGGGCAGTGAAAATTTTTCCAGCTGGGAGATGAGAAAGGAGATGTAGAGAAAATAAATACCTATTCATTACCGTCAGGATATATTTCTGATACTCTACCATCTACATCAGAGAGTCTATCAGTGGCTCAGTTTGACCTGTTATAGATGAAGTGTGAGTTGGTAGAGTGAAAGGAACATTCCATAGCCCGATATCTTGGAGGTGTGAAGTCCGCTATTAGCAACTTTGTGCTACTGCAACCCTATTGGTTATTGGGAGATATCCAGACCTTAGTTTTGAAGGTAGAAAGACAACAAAAGCAGAGCATACAACCAACACCATTTAGGCAGCCACCTATAGTTGGAGAAATAAGCAGGACACCTCAAGAGTAGCACACTTGTTACTGTTCCCGCTTGAAAATGCTATAGATGCCATGGGTTTGGGCACTTCACCTTCAACAGCCTGATGAGTCAAGTCGTGTTTTTTACCGAGCAGGGCTCAGTGGAGGAGGTTAGTGATGTGGAGGCAGTTGAAAATAGGGTGTGGTGTATTATTTTTCACCTGATGAGGACGAGGTTCTCATGGTTTGACTGATTCTAAATACTGAGGATATGAGAGATTTGCAGTGGCTTCGCCACATGTTCTACACCTGTTGTATTGTAAACGAAAAAACATGTAGTCTCATCATCGATGGAGGGAGCAACAAGAACATGACGTTTACACAGATGGTGGAGCAATGAATCAGAGGCTGGGAGGAGAATAGAGTCATCATTAACAGGACGCATCTAGTGGAGTTTTGATTAAAAGCCAGCTGCAAGATTAGGTGTGGTGCGACTTGGTGTCCATGGATGTTTGCCATCTTTTGCTAGGGAGACCGCGACAGTATGACCGCAAGGCTCGACATAATGGATACAAGAACACCTACTTCACCAAAATATGATAAGCGTATCATCCTTCTACCATCTCCAAAACCGAGATCACAGGTTCCTTGCTAGCGAGAAGCGTAGGTGGGATCATAGAGTATGATAGGATTTAGGCGCCGATTCCAGACATGAGACAATCATGAAAGAGAGTATTTCAGGACATCACGATCAATTCCTTACCGTAATGGCCACCACTGTTCTGGGAGGGTTAGGTTACTCTCTCTCCAACTTAGATTGAGTCAACCATGGATTACCTTGGGAGGATTCAACAGAAACTGTGTGGCATGAAGTCCCAGTTTAGTTCAGTAGCCTAACTCACCCAGAAAGTTGGATCAATATGGATGTATGCTAGCAAGTGGAGAAAATTCCTCTGGTGTTTTGGGGGCCAAGACAGTCATCAGTGGGATCTAGGAGCTTTGAGTGCCGTCGTCTAGGAGCCATCAGCCCGGGGAGATCACAACACCTCCATCACCAGCAATGGGCAGACAAAGGCTTCAATGAATGAGGTCGAAACTCCCTTCAATTTCGGGAGACTGGCGCGGTGCTATTCACCTGGACCGATTTAGTCGGTTCAGGGTGGGATTAGGAGAGCCAGCCAGTCCTTCTAGAGCATTGATTGTTTTCAGATTTCTAGTCCAGTTTGCCGACGATGGCTGTTTTCCTTGCTAGGATTATATTGGAGGACAGGTGGTGCTATGACTGTCTTGCTCCACGGTGGTGACTATCTCCGCTTATCCCCATCCCCTGCCCCTCTCCTTGCTGCCGGCGCCTCTTTGGTCACTGTCACCAACCTCCTGCCCATTGCTTTGCTACTGCCTATGTCTTGTACCCTTATGTTTTAGCCACCAACTTCCCCATCCAGCCACTAGCCTCCCTCCAGATGCTTGTTCCTCTATCTAGCCATTGGCTTTTCATAGCCTGCCGCCCTTCTAGCTGGTGGCCAACTCCCCTTCCCCTTCCCCTTCACCTACTGCAATTTCCATAACCATGTCTCCTTACTAACGTAACCCCTGCCGACCTCCTTGATTGCTACTACAATCCTCTGACTGCTACTACAATCCTCTGACCTTTCCCTTGTTGCCGTGAACCCTCTAGCCTTCTACTGTTGGTTGCCGCTCCCCAATCAGTCAACTTAGCCACTGTCCAGCTGTAGCTCACCACCTTCCCGTCCTAACCTTAGTGGCTGATGGTGTTTGTTGTCATTTTATTCTTGTTTTAAGAGCCTTTGTTGTAACCCGTTTATGTTTTCAGTAATAATATTTGCATTTTCATTGCGATTTGAGTTAACTCAGGTATCACACATGTAAATCTCCTTTTTCCACTTCGCTATTATTCGATTACTCTCGTTTTTCTTTTCATTCATCTCGGGATTAAATCCACCTCCTAGCGGAATTTAAGGCAAAATGAAGGAGAAATAGGATTCGAGATAATTTAGGATTCAAATCTGTCACTTTTTTATGATTGGCAGGATTTATGCTAAATCCTAATCAAATCCAACTCAATTCTTGCTACCAAATGGTCCCTTAGTTCCTTAATCCTACCTAGTCACTAATATAAAAGTTACTAAATTCTGAAATTATTCCTATGACGTGAAAATCACAGCAATAAATAATGAAAATTTTCTTCTTGCCTACCTAATGACTGTAAGATTGGGTAAAACTAGGTTTTGTTGCCATTAATAGACAAAAGAAGTGTCCAACTATTGTAATTATAGTGCAAAACTCTACCAATATTAATTTAAAAGATAAAAATCATGATCTAGTAAAAAAATGAAGCGTATCAATGATGTAACTTTCTCAAGCTCTAGTGATTATTGGCTAACATCTAATAATTTAACATTTCGGTGATTTTGTGATAAATGTTATGTTTGTACAAATGTATGGTACAACAATATTCTCAGCATGTCGGATGGACCTAAAAGTTATTAGATTTGCTTTTCAGGTTTTCGTTATATAAATTCTTCATGTTCTTAAAGTATATTATCCTGAGAGCTTTTTCCAAGGGAACAATGTTTTATTTTTCTTATCAACTATTTTATATCTGGGTCTCAAACCCCGTTCTTGTGACGGGAAGGGGAAGGGGAAGGTTTAGGTTTTACACCAATTTCTGAATAAATAAATTGTGTAAAAGGAGGTTTAGGATAAGCTTAGAAGTAGTTCTATTACCGAACCTTATCGTTTTGGAAAAATTTTTTGTTCGGACTACGAACGTAGCTCTACGTGCGGACTCCAATAACATGCCGTCATGTGTGCTACATCACGGAGGTTATTTCGTGGTTATTAAAGTGAAACTGCGAAGGTTATTTCGGGGTTATTTTTGGGTTATTTCAGAGTTATTGAAGAGAAACCTATATATTTCACTTTAATAGCCAAAAAATAACCTAGAAATAATCTCCACGGTTCCACTTTAATAACCCCGAAATAACATTACGGAGATTATTTCGGGGTTATTTCTGGGTTATTTCTGGGTTATTGAAGTAGAATATATGAGTTTCTCTTCAATAAATTTGAAATCTGAAATAACCTCCACGGTATTATTTTGGGAGGATATTTCGAGGTTATTGCAAAGTCCACGATTTCACTTTAATATTTTTTTGGTGAGCCCGATATAGCACACATGGTGATATATTACTGGGAGTCTGCATGTAGAGCTACCTCCAGAGTCCGGACAGAAATTTTTCCGTTCGTTTTTTACAAACAATAGCTTCCGTCCCACTTTTATGAATGCCAATAAACATTTTGATTGGTTGAATTCTGCAGATGAAACTCAAAAACAGAACAATCCTAAAAATGAACCCATCCAGAATTCTCTCTCATTTGTTTATATTATTTATGGAGATTCAAATCACCACCATCTCTTTGCAGGACGTGGAACATAACCGTGCGTTTTGTCTGGTTTCATCTTCTCGCATTTCTAATGTAATCCCAATCTGTATACACAGATGAGACTTCAGTATCAAATTGGTGGTAAAAGTTGGCCCGGTTAAGCCTCAGCTAAGGATAAAGAAGAGATTAGAAGAAATAAATCCTGGTTTATTGGCAATTAGAAATGCCCCATTTGTCGCCATTGATGCTGTTTACAGGGCTTCCAGTTCATCCCGATTCAAGTCATTGAGACACTGCTGATCTGCTCCCAGGGATCAAATTTGGTACAAGCCATGGCTGCGGCTTCTGCTTCTTTGGAAATTCGGCGGGTGGTGTAACCAGAATTTAAAACTGCAATACCTTGGCTACATTTTTGCTGAGGTTGGTAGTTTGGGCTTCCAAGTTTAAATTTTTAATAAAAATTAAATTTTGTGATATTTTGATATGTTTACATATTTTTATTATATGCATATATTTTTGTTGAAAAGAATAATAACAGATTGTGTTAGACAAGGAGAAGATATTGAGAGATGAGAATGGTGGACAAGTGGACAAAAATGAATTAAACAGTTGAAAGCATTTAGAATGTATTGTTTTAGTATTTTGTTGGTTGTTTGGATTGATTTAAACCAATTGGAAACAAACTTGGTTGATTTAAACTATTTTAGAATTCCTAGTGTTTACATCTGCATTTGAAAATCACTTAAAAATTTGGGTGATTTCTTAGTTTTGTCATCTCGAGTCTGGCTACCACCAGATAAACCATTACTTTTTCAGTGATTATTCATTCATGATATTAAGTTTTATTTAAAAAAATTTACTTTTTTTTTCTTTTTTTATTGTTTGAAGTGCATTTTTTTGTGATGTTGTTGAGACGGTATGTTAGTTTGTAGATAAAAGCTTTAGAGGTCTATTTGGAGCAACTGTTGATTATTTATAATATGTTGATAAACAGATTATTCTGATAATCTGATAATCTACAAATTATCAGAATAATTTGGCTTGCTGTTAGGGGTAGCTTATTCAGAACAACTTATTATTAGCTGTTGTTGGATAAATGATCATTCTGCCCCTGTTGGTTAAGCTATTTGTTTACAAAAATAGATAAAACAGAACCCACAAATCATTACAGATCAGTTCAAAAAGATAACATAGGCTGCTTACACTCGACAACACCTATAGTCTAAAAAATATTCTAATAAATAAATAAAACCTGGTTGATCAACTGCCACATATAGTATCTGTGATACTCCCCCAAAGCAGTCATTTCAGCCACACCTTCACCGTCATGAATTTCAAATTCATTGGAGTTTATCTCATTCTCAAGTAATGAATGTCCAACCACAAATTGTGAAGGTTCTTCGGAGACATTTAATTCATCATCGTCAACCATAATAAAGTCTGTATCTGATTGAGAGAGATGTCTTTGGAGGAAGTTTAAGTATAGTTTGATGTAACTTAAGTCGATTGAGTGGATTTTGGAAGCCTGTAGAAATATATGTTTTTTTTTTTTTTTTTTTTTTTTTTTTTTTTTTTTTTTTGCTTCTAATTAATTGTTATGCATTTGTCCACACAATAAATGATTAAATAAACATATTTTAAGCATGTTTACAATGGTATGTATGGTGCCAGTAGTCTAGATTGTAGTTTCAATTGTAGTTGATTCCAATCCCGGTCTATTTTTTTCTTAATTTCGAATGATTTTAGAGTTTTCCAGTTGGCATTTAAAAGTTTCACCCAGAATTTAGTCCTCATTACAAGCTCAAAAGTTTCTTATAATAATTTATCAGAAGTTCTAAGCGAAAAATTCCTAAGTAGTATAAATTTATTTCCTAATTTTTTTTTAAAAAAAGACTAATTTTATGATTAAAATGTCAAGTATCAAGCGTATGTATGTAAATACAGTTTTGATTGTGGTGCATTTAAATTTATAAGGCTGGCAATTCCAATACATATATATAGATATATATATATATATACATATATATATATATTTGTAATTGCAATGTTTTGAGTGTAAGATATGTGAATACCCTTGTAATTAATATTCCAATTCCGTATCATTTTTTTAATCTTTTAAATAGTCTTAATTATACTAGGATTAAAGGCAAAATTTAAATTGAATTAGAAAATTAATGAAATTATCAGAATTTAAAATTTTAAGTAGGGATTATTGTTTTAATACAGAAAATTATAATTTTGACTTGTTTCAACTTAAACACTACGAAAATCGTGGCGTTATTTTATTTTTAGGTTGAAAAAGAAAGGATGTGTTCAATCCAAAAATAACGTTTGGATGACACTCAAGAAACAGAGCATTAGACGGATGAAAAGAATAGAAAAATAAAGAAGAGTAGAGTGCACAATTACACGAGTTTTCTCAGAATGAATTAAATACTATCCCTCCTTGGAGATGAACCCCTATTTATAGAACATAGGGGATGTCTCTTACATTACATATTTGTCCCTTTTTTAATAGGAACGTTATAAGTGATTAATGCACCATTACTCTTGTACATATTTGTAATTGATCCTGAGATCCTTTATATTAGTAATCGTCATTGATACCTTTTCATATCCATAACTATTTAAAATGGGGCCTTAATGATCCACTAATACTATCATTCGATCGTCTTATAATTGTTCAGTAGGCTAGAGGGTCTTTGGCCTGCTGGAAGGTCTTCGGTCAGCCTTCTCGAGAAAAACTCCAATAAAGACCTAATTTCTAGCGTGAACTTAGATCATGAGGCAGATGGTGTGTTACCGTAGTCTGATGGGTAGTTCTCATTCGTACAAGAGATCTTCATAAAGGATTTTGGAAGATCATTGGCAATATTTGTGAAGAATCCCAAAAACGGTTGAGAGGGTTAATTACATGTGTGTACTTTAGATCAGGCGTATGACATTCTTTTGTTCAGCTGCACTGGCCTTCAATTGGCTTAAGGATCATTTTGTAATGTCCTTGAAATTCGTGCAGTCGTATTTTTGATGAATCTATTTAGTTCTTATATTCTCTTACTTCTTGAAAGTGGTCTCTGTGATAAGAATAAGATAATTAAATGAATATTAACTTATTTATTACGTAATAAATACTTCTAATACTTGAACTCCTTAAATTTTGTGTTTTATAAACAAGTCGTGGTTAGTTTTTTATGTCACCAATTTCGGATTTTCTATCCTCCAATCAATTTTTGAAAGAGAACAATAATGACGAGCAACAAGAAACCTGTGGGCGAAGAGGCTACATTAAGGTCCTTCGGCTTTGACTGACAAACTCCACCTTTCTGTGGCTGAGAAAAAGAAGAAGCCAGAGAGTACTAGGTCGAATCGCAAGAAGAAAACTCTGGAGGCGAGCCAACCGGCTGGAAAGGGATTGAAAGTTGAAGGAAGGTTGGTCGGCTCAAAGAGACCGGGAAGTGATCCAACTAGTGGGGACCAAGCTGGTTAAGCAAGCGGTGATGAAGAGCAAAGGGTGGTAGAGATGATCAAGTCGTCTCACTTATTGCCCCTCCGTGAGGTTGGAAGTAGGATTAAGGTGCACACCACTAGTGCACTAGTCCTTGCCCCAATTTTGATCTGCAAGAGGCTGGCTCTCCCGTCACCAATGCAACAAGAGCATACGAACATGAAGACCGAAGTTCAGCTACGCAAAGGTGTGGTTCTCCCACCTTTGACCAGTGGGGTAAGCAAGGCGACTGTCTTATGGCCTGCTGCGAGAGTCTCCGTACATTGGAGATAGAGAGACTAATTGGTAAATATGTTTTTTTTTTCTTAAATGACTGGTTCATTCCTTTTGCCATTCCCGACTCTAATTATCTTTGTAAATGGAAACATGCATGTCATCAATTCATCGACCAATGAAGTCGACAAACTACGCGCTCTAGAGGCAATTGTGGGACCTTCCATTCCAACTCCAAGTGGAGGTGCATCCTACAATCTGCCAAACTCAGACTTCATCGAAAGGGAGACCGAAGGTTGGCAGGGTTCCCATGAGTCATTGGCCTACCGCATGAAAGAGACGGTGAAATCCTTTTCCCAGAAGGATAGCCTTTACTAGCGTAGTATATAACTTTAAAAATCTTTTCATATCTTTGTCCAAGGACAACTCAAATAGCATAATCACTAGCATCACACATCAGTTCAAATGGCTTCTCCCAGTTAGGTGAAACTATAATAGGGGCTGTGATTAATTTTTCCTTTAATAACTCAAAGGCATTTAAACAGCTTTCAATAAATTCAAATTTCTTGTCTTTTTCTAAAAGTTGGCATAGAGGTTTGGTAATTTTTTAAAAATCTTTAATAAAACGCCTGTAAAATCCAACATGTCCAAGAAAACTCCTAACCTCTCTTACATTAGTAGGAGG